ACTGGCCATGGAGCCGCCCGTTCCCATCCCCGGCTCCGTGTCCGTGCTGGGCGCAGCACAGCAGGAAACCCTGGAGCTGTGGAGGCCTCCCAGAATGTTATTTTTTTCAGGAACAACCATTTTTACCCACCCAGCCTGAAAGAAACCAGACCTGTGTCTCTCCCTGGTGTTGGCCAGGTTGTGGCTGGGGGCTTTGAAGGGTCAGGGTGCAGAGGGTGGCACAGAAATCCGGGATGGGAACGGGGTGCAGATGGCTGCCAGGGTTTCTGCTGTGATTTGTAGGGCGTTGCATCTGCTCCACTGCTCACTTCTTGCTGTCAGCTGAAATCCTCTGTGCTGCACGGGCCAGATCCTGCTCTCCCCTGAGGATCCTGGTCCAGCCTGCAGATGGAAGCGCCTCCAGGCACATCACATCCTTCTCCTCCTCTGGATACTGGGGGGCTTGTCGGCCCCCAGGAAAACCTGAGTGCTTTGAATGTGTCTGTATGCACAAACCTGCCTCTGGAACCCTGTAGTGAACAAAAGAGCTGTGGGAAGTGGCTGCAGCCTGTGAATGGATGTCAAGGAATAACACACGGATCTGTGCCACGGCAAAATCAAGCATCGTCCCTTCTTATCTGCGAAAGAGCCTGTGTTTTACATGAAAAAGCCTTTCTAATTAATAGGCCAGCCCCTCTTGAGCTCGATAAAAAATGGAGTCAAAAGGATTTGATTAACCCCTGCTCTGTGCCGGGCGCGGGCTCTGCCTGAGCCAGACCTGCCCGGGGCTGATAACGGCTCCGTGTCCCGGGAATCCCGGCAGCATCCCGGCACCGCCGGGCCTGAGCACCCTCAGAACCGGCCTGGGGGTGTCCAGCCCCAGGCACAGCCCCCTCGGAGGGCTGGGATGCTCCAGAGCCGGCTCGTGCTGTGCCTGCTCCTTCTGAATATCCTCTGCTCCAGCCGGTGTTTTTTTCTGTGCTCAGACACATTTGACTAAACTAATACATATGTATACACCCCGGGACGTTCCCATCCAAACCAATGTAAATTACCTCTGACCAATACATTTTCCCAGGAAATCAATGCATTTTAACACTGGATAATATTTATGAAATTGAATTATTTTTTTTTATTGAAGCTAATGCAATTCCCTTCTGTTTTATGCATTTTTATTAAACTAATGCATTTTAAATTAAACTGTTGTATATTAACTACAATGGCTGTGGGTACTTACAGTAAAGTAATATATGTTTGCTGAAATCAATACATATTCCAAACCTGGGAATTTCCAGTTAACAAGGCTATATCAAATATAACAAATGCATGTACCTGCTTAATTTGATGCTTATATACAACTGGCTGCTATATTTGTTTATTGGTAATGATTATTTTAAAGGGGGAAAGCATATTAAAGGTGGAAAGATAGATTCCTGCCGGGAGCTGCTGTTGGAAGCTGCCAGAGGTGGTCACGCCATCCCTGACGCTTGAATTGGGGAGTGTGGGGGTTCTGGTGCTGGCTGAAATTCACCTCCTCTGGCACAGACTGGTTTCTGCGCCCTCCATCACACCTCTGCAGCTCAGTTCCCGTTGTGTGAGGTTTTGGGAACATCCTTCCCTTGCCCACCACATCCCCCTCAGCTCCTTTCTACCAGCAGCATCCTCAGCAGCTTTCAGGGGGTTTTATCCCTCTCCCCTCGGTGTTCAGAAGGTTTCCACATGTAGCAGCTTATTCCGGGCAGATTCGACGCCGCAGCTTTGCCTGACTCAGCTCCGTTTCTCCTTGGAAAGTTCCAGCATCGTGGTTATGGCCCAGGGTTTCCCCAGCTCAGGAATTTGGGCAAGAGCCGCCACCTGCCTGACAGAGCCGGGGAGCGGCTGGCCCGAGGATGGGGACCAGGACAGACAATTCCTGAGCTCTGGCGTGTCCCGGGGCTGTGTCCCGCCCCGAGAACAGGATGCGGCATTGACAGGAAAGCCATAAATAGCAGCGTTATCCGCCGTGAGCGCGCCAGCGGCGCCGGGGCTGAGATAATTTGGGCGAAGCAATAAAAGAGGAAAATTAATTAAAGAGCATGCGCTAATTGTAGGGGAAATGTGCGTGCAATGAGTAGCCGAGGCAGAAGGGCGGCCGGTGGAGGAGCCCGGGCACCCTCCCCGCACATCCCGGGGGACAGCGAGGGCTGAGGCCGGGCACAGCTCGGCGATGTCCCACGGGCAGCGCGGGGAGCCAAGGGGTGCTGCCAACCCCCGAGGTGCCTCACCCTGCACTCCTGTGCCCCCCTTGTCCCTTTGCGTCCCCTCACCGTGGCCGGCCGTGTCCCCCCGTGTCCCCCCCATGTCCCCGTGTCCCCCCTCGTGTCCCCGACCCGGCCGGCGGGGGACGCGCTGCAGCTCCCGCGGTGGCCACCAGGTGGCGACGTTGTAGCGGACGCTGCCCGGTCCCGGCGGGAGAGGGATGGGAAAAGGGATTGGGAAAAGGGATTGGGGAAAGGGATTGGGAAAGGGATTGGGGAAAGGGATTGGGGAAAGGGATTGGGGAAAGGGATTGGGAAAGGGATTGGTGAAAGGAATGGGAAAGGGATTGGGAAAAGAGATTGGGAAAGGGATTGGGGAAAAGGGATTGGGGAAAGGGGCTTCTGGGACCCCAGGACCAAACCTGCTGGGGGACAGCTGACAGTGACTGCACAGGGATGGGGACAGAGCTTTGCAGGAGCTGTCAGGGTGTCCACAAGGGATGTGCCCAGGGCTGCAGCTGGGCAGAGCTCCTGGGCAGCCCCAGGGTCTCACACATCTCTGCTTCCTCTGGTGGCACTGCTGTCCCATGGTGAGGCTCCCGGTGTCCCTCTGCCCATCCTTGGGACCGAGCAAGCTCCCAGTCAGCACTGGGTCACCATCAGGCTGGTCACCATCAGCACTGGTCACTATCAGTAGCTCTCTCTGCCAGCATCACCCCTTGGCTGCCTCATGGGGCCAGCTCACTGCACAAAGCAGTTACGTGGATCACAAACAGGCAGCAAGGCAGGAATAAATTAATGCCTGGAATGGGAGTGTGCTGAAATCCTTTTTTTTCCCCTTTTTTTCCTTTTTTTTTTTTTTTTTTAAGTACACAGAAAAGCCCCTTCCGTGTTTTAATTAAAAGCCTTTCAGGAGAGGAGGCAAGGGGCTGCCATTTACAACGGGCTATTGTCAGGCACACAAAGCAAACGGGGCTGGAGACAAACTGATTTATTAACCTGCACCTCACAGAGCTCCCAGGGCGGGGTGAGCCCTCTGTGGAGGGAGGGGATGGCAGCTCTGGGGTCCCCCTGCTCCCCCCAGGGTGCTGCAGGGCCATGGGGCAGCCCCCGAGGGGACACAGGGGACACAGGGGACACGGCTGGTTTGTGCCACCCCGCAGCTCTCCGTCCCTCCAGGTGGCACAGGGTGCAGTCCCTCTCCTCTTCCTCACTGCTCCCATTGATTTATTAATGATTTGGCCAAACAGGAACATTCCTCCAAAGCCCACAATTTAATTTGCTCACCAAAGATGCCAAGTTAGTTTTATTCCTGATTTATGAGCAGGCTCCTGCGTTCCCTGGGCAGCAGAGCAGGGCAGTGATTTATGGGGGTGAGATCAGCTTTGTGGGTGCAGGGAGAAGGTCCCTGCCTGGGACCTGTCCTGGTGGTGTCCAACAGCAGCTCCCAGGAGCACCTGGACCATGAACAGACTGGGCAGTCCCTGCTGCTGGCATGGGGAGGAACCAGCTGTGCTCCAGCAAAGACCACTCATCCCACCTGGACCCATCCCTGAGCAAACTTCCCTTGGCCCTGAGGGGGGAATGGAAATGAATTCCCACTGGGATCTCCCCTTGCAGGGCCTCTGCTCCCACCCCCAGCCTCATTCAGGTGAAGCATCTTCCTGGCACCACCAGCAGCCCCGATCTCATTACAAATCTCAGTGACTCCCAGTGGTTTCCACTCCCTGATTTTTATGATTTGGGGGATAAGGGAATCTATTTTTGGCACTTGGGTCACCAGTACAAAGTTGGAGGCTTTGACCTGTGTGCCCTCAAGCAGGAGCAGCACCTGGGCACTCATGTTTGGGGTCTCAGAGCATCTGTGGAATTTGCTGTTGATGCCACCAGGGTTGGGATTTCAGCTCTCTCAGCATTTTCATCTGGGGTTCCCCAGTTCCAGGCGAGGTGTTTGCTGCAGGACCAGAAGAAGGGTTTGCCCCTTTTCCAGCCAGCTCTGAAGGCAGGGAAGATGCTGGTGCAGGGCTCACAGGAACATCCAGGCTCTCTCTCACACAAACTGCCTCGACTCCTGCAAATCTTTCTTTGAACTTTGATTTTCTGTTCACTTGTTCTTCTGCCTGAGGCGTTTTGCAATTGTGGGATTGTGAGCGGCTCCGAGTTTCTCTGAGTGGAAGAGATGAGAAGAACAAGATTATTTCCTGGCTGTTTGTGCTACAGTGTGGGGCCAAGGTCACTTTGTGTGTCTGCCTCACCCTTCTGGACAATTCTCCTGGCCCAGGAGCAGACCTGTCCCCATGAGAATTGGAAGCACCTGCAGGGCAGGCTGCAGTTTGAAGAGTGTCCCTTTTCTTCAGTGTCTTCTGAACTCAAACTCTGCTTTTTGGTGGAATCCCAAGAGCCCAGCAGCAGGGTGATAGCTGGGCAGTGAGGGGCTGCTTCCTCCCCAGCTTTGTGCAGAGAGAGGCCCCAGCAGGGCAAGATTTGCTGCAGTTTTAGGAGCAGTGAAGGACTCCAAGTGACCACTGCAGGAGCACTGGTGGCTTTGCTGGTGTCCATGCTGCCCCATCTCCCTCCAGCCCTTCTGGGAGCACAGGGATCCACCTCAGCCCAGAGGAGACATTGCAGCGTGCTTGGTTTTAAAAAACAAGCCTATAAATTAAGACAGTATAAAGTCATAAAAGCTCAGACAATTTATTGGACAATATGGAGAAAAGATAGATTTACATGGCTTGATACAAACAAAACACAACTCCAGCTCCAGAGCCGTGAAAAGCAGCCTGGTCATTCAGTCCAGCTGCCTTTGGGAAAGTCATGGTGCTCAGTCAGAGTATCCAGGTGCCTGTTGAACTCCTCCACTTGCTGCTTGTGGGTTTTTGATGCTTTCTTCAGGATCCGCTCCATTTGCCGCTTCTCCTGCATCTTCTCGAAGGCTGCCTGTGCCGGGGTCTGCCTGTCCAGCCCGTGCTGCTTCTCCTCCTCCTCTTCCTCCTCCTGCTGCTTCTTGCTGCTCACAATCTGCTCCAGAATCTGGGCCTTGTCTTTTGCCTTCTTCTTCTTCTTCTTCTTCCTCCTCTCACTGGCCCCAGGGCCCTGGCGCTGCCCTTTGGCTGCAGCGGAGCGCGGTGCAGGAATAACCCACCTCGTAACCCGCCAGGGACTTGCAAAAAGCCGCCTGCACACCACAAGAAGAGCCCTCCAGCTGGGGCTGCAGCCTTCCCTCCACACTGGGAAAAACCCCACACCTTCCAGGGATTCCTCAGGGAATCCCTCCGGAGTCCCCCTGGCAGTCTGGGGAATGCTCACCCCTCCTGGGGACTTTGGTGGGAAGGATGGAAGGCAGCTCTCCATCTGGAATCTGTCTGCCCTGGGCAAGGCAGGCTTGCCAATCCCACCCTTCTTGCTGACCAAAAAATAACGAAGAAGTCCGAGGAGGCTGGAAGTCCCAAAAGCTGCTGTGGATGAAGACCAGAGATCTCTGAAGCCAGGTCATGGAACTTGCGTTTCATTGCAAGGGGTGTGGGGGCACTCCCCTGCTTGGAGCTGCCAGCCACAGCTTGGAGCAGGCCCGGGAGAAGTAGAGAGTGGGAAAGAGAAAGAAGGTGAGAGGGTGGTAAAGAGAAAATGAGAGAGCAAGGAAGAGTAAAGAGAGCGAGGTTCCCGTTACAATACCATGAATCTTCTTCCATGCTGAATATTCTAATTTTCACTAACTAATCTAGTACAAGATACAAATCCCATAGCATTTACATACAGCCTATAAGAATCATTACATTACCATACTGTGCTACATTTTAAACCATAAAAACTCCTCTTTGGGCCCCTTCTGCCATGCTGGCAGGGTCTGCTCTGACCCTTAGACCTGCCTGCGAGCAGAGGGTATTGTTTCATCAAAAGGGAATTACTTTCAGCCAGCCACACCATTGTTTTCCAGTTGTTTAGTAACTAAGGTATCTCAAAGTTTGTTTTTATTTCAATCCTGCTTATAGTTCCCATATTCTCAAAATCTTTTGCCAGGCAATGATATTTATATGGCTTTCCTGTTTCATCTTCCCCAACAGTCCAGTCCGGCTGGCTGTGGACCCCAGCCCACACACGGACAAAGGCAAAAGACCAGAACTCTCTTCTCCACGTAGGGAACAACGTCCCACGTTTATTCCCGAGGTGGGAACGACGCGTCGCCTGATGGCGGGAAACTTTTAACCCGGGGGAGTGGGGGGCGGGGCTAGAGGAGCACAGCCAATGGGACAGCAGGGAGGCGGGGCGAGGGGCGGGGTCACGCTGGGAGAGACCACCACGCTGAAATTTGGAGGGGGGGAGAAAGGGGAAGACCATGCGGCGATAGGATACAAATAATGTGAACAGCGCAAATTACCGAACACCCGGCGCAAACAACTAATTAACTATTTAGTGCAATATAACAGAGGGGCAGCTCCGTCCTTTTCTGCTCAAAACTGAGCCGTGGCCACTGGGGCTGGGGTCCCTACAGCACAAACGTGGCACAGCCCTGCTGGGAGGCTTCCCCAGGGGATTGGGAATTAATTCTCCAAGCCCCTTGGATATTGGTGTGGCCAGTACAACAGGCGATGGGGCAAAGAGGTGTGGAAAATGTAAAGTTGTGGCGTTTTAGTTTGGTTTTTTTTTTTTGGTGGAGAAGCAGAGAGGGAATTTCTGGGACAGGTGTTGTGAGTGCTCAGACGCTGCTGGCTGGGCTCTGTTCCTCTGCTGAAGTTGGTTGGATTCTTCAGAGCCATTGAGAAATTTAAAAACACAGCCCTAAACCAACCTGAATTCGGTGTATTTGTGAATTCGGGGTTTTCTGGCTGCGGAACGCTGGGAGCGTGTTTGCTGTAGCCATTCCCAGCAGGTCAAAGGTGCGGGAAGGGTCACATTAGGCGGATAAAAACCAAACAAACCTGGAAAAGTTTAACCGGCGGCTCCCGGCTGGCGATTATTCCAGCTAAAAAACCTTAATTTGGCCGGGAAAAAAAATCCATCTCCGGGGGGGGGACCCCGCGCCCCTTCCCGAGACTGAGATGCTCAGGGGGGTGTCCAGGAGCGGCGGGGGGCGATGCTCGGGGGTGGCCCCGGGGGGGACAGGGGCGCTCCGGGAGGGAGCCCCATCCCTGTTCCCCCCGGTGGGGGCGGGCGGCCCCCGCTCCCTCCGCGCCCCTCCGCGCCACCGGGCTCCCCCAAGATGGCCGCCGAGGTGGGATCGATGGATGTGTCGATACCGGACACGGTTTGATGCCCGCCGGCTCCAGGTCGGTGGCGGCGGCGGCGGCGAGAGGGAGGGAGGGAGGGGAGGGATGGGGGCGGCCGCCCGGATCACTCCCCCCACCCCTCTCCCCGTCCCTCCCTCCCTCTCCCCCCGCGCCCGCCCCCCTCCCTCCGCCCGCCCTTCCCCATCGATAGGTATCAGAAATTGATCCCCGCCGCCGCCGCTGCCGCCGCTCTTTGTTCGGCGCCGCCCGCCCGGGAGCCTGGAGCAGAGCATGGAGCAGCGCTAGCGGCGATGGAGCCGCGATGGAGCCCCGGCCCCCGCCCCGCCGCCCCCGAGGTGACAGCAGGGCCGGGGGGCGGCCGCCGCTCCGCCCCGGCGGGAGGGAGGGAGGGAGGAAGAGGAGGGAGGGAAGTTGCGCGGGATGAAGTTGCGGGGAGCGCGGCCCCCCCGCGCCGCCCCGCCAAGTTTGTGGCGGTGCCCGCCCGCCGAGCGGAGCCGCAGGTGCCCGCGGGCTGCCGAGTGTCCCCGGCGCCGCCCGCAGCGGGGGCGGCTCGGTCCCCGCGTCCCCCGGCGCGCTCGGGGCGGGCAGAGCCGCGCGGTTGCGGTGATGGATGCGGGGATGGCGGAGCGGGGCTGCCCGGAGCCCCGCCGCCCTCCCATTGTTATCCAGGGCCGGTGTGCGGGGCCGGTGCGGGGGCTCGGCCAGCCCTGAGCGCCGGGAAGGCGGTCGGTACCAGGCGGTGCTGCTCGGAGCGGGGATGGATGCGGCGGGGGGGCGGCAGCTCCTTTGTGGCTCCGGGCAGGTCACGGCCGCCGTATCCCACCGTGGTACCCTCGGTCTGTGAAATTCCCGGTAAGTCCTTTGTTACCGTGCGCGGGGGAAGGTTGCCAGGGGCTGCTGACAGTTTGTGACCTTAAATACGCACCTTAAATAGGAGGTGGGTAATTAACACAATGGCTCTCCCAACATAATGGGATGAAAACCCAACCTGGAGCCGCTACAACAACCGAAACGCGCATTTCCATGGATATTAAATGGGTTTATCCCTGTAGGATATTCCGGAGTTTAAAATGCAGCGTGCTTCGGAGGGGAGTAAACAAATTGAAATGCGATTTATGGGGCTCCGGTACTGGATCAACAGTTCCAGCATTTAATGCATTTTGGCTTTTAAGCAGATTACGTGCTGCATCTGCGCTACGCGACCCGAAAAGTACCGCAGGTACCGCGGCCGGTGGGTTTGCCATGACTGCTCAGTTCTGGCATTGTGGCCGGGAAGGGATTACGGCTCTCAGCGCTTCGGATACAAAAGCGTTCCCCGCTAAACCGCGCTAATGACTTTTCCCGTGTGCGCGCAGCACCTTTATTTAAAGATAAATATTGGCAGCTACTTTGCCCTGGGTCTGTCGGGGGCGAACTTTGCTGGAGGGAGAGGTGGGCTGGGAGGTGGCGGCTCTCCTTCCTTCCTCCCTTCCTTCCTCCCTCCCTTCCTTCCTTCCCCGCCGTTCCGCCTGGCCGGTGCCTGTGGCTGGGTGCGGAGCTGGAGAGGGAGCGCTGGGGATTGACTTCTGTCCAGGCAGCAGGATCGCGTTGGGAAAGGTGACCTTGTGCCAGCTTGGCCTAATGCCCTCCATTAAGAAAAAAAAAAAAAATTAAAAAAAAAAAGAAAACAAGAGGGGAAAGGAAAAAAAATAGGAAGGCAAGCAATCAATTTATAATTCTTCCATCAATTTATAATTCTTCCAAGAGCTTTTTCCTTTTTTTTTTTTTCCATCCTTTTTAATGGATGTGTCTGAGCAGCTCTGGTGGCCTGGGGCTGGCCGGGAATGGCAGAGTTTGAGCCGCCCTGATGAATGGTGGGCATATGGAAAACGCAGGGATAATGTGGCACTCGGCAGCGCTCGGATCGAAACGCGCTGAGCCCTTTTACGGCAGAGAGGCGCGGAAATGAGAAGAGATAAAATTCTATCAAAGATAATGCCAGACGTATTTCACCGGGTTATGAGATTGGTTTATTGTGTACATTACTAATGCAGTATTTTTTTACAGCTTTCTCGTGTGTGATAGGCAGAGCGGGATTCATACCTTCGTGGGGTTTTTGGGGTTTAATTTGCTTGGGGTTTATTGCGTTCTGGTTGGCACCGTGTGGATTTATGGGATGCTCCTTGCGCTGGATGCTGCTCTAATCCAACCCGTTCTGCCTTAAAAAAGGCAAAGAAATGGGCAAGAGTTTTGAGCTGCTGATTTGGGGTAATAAATACAACGGGCGGGCGAGAGCGATTAGAGCCATCTTTTATAAATGTCTTCACATCTCATTATGCAGATGAGCTCTGGCTACACGGCTCCGAGCCTTTGGTTCTCGTCAAATAAAATGTTCTTGGGTTTATTTTCTGGAATGCAAATGCTCTCTCCGTGTGCTGGAGTTGGGCAGAAACTTCGGCGGCTCTGCCGGGTGTGGAGAGCCGGGAGCCTCCGAGCCTGGTCTGGTTCATGAAATGTTTTTGCTGTTTAAAGTTTAGGGGAGAAAAAAAACCAAAAAAAAAACCCCAAAAAAGCCAACCCACAACTGTGGATGTGATTAAAATATTATAACCTTATGATATTCTGAAGTGCATAAATTTTACATATCAGCTACAGAGGGAGTTTAGACATCCATTAAATGATATGACAGCTTGACTTATCTAAATGTGCATCATTTAACAATGTGTCAAAATTCTGCTTTATATAGACGACAGCAGTAAATAAGCTATCAGTCCTCTTGGCTGGAGCTTAATTCCTGGAGCTTGGACTAATAAACTTAGCTGCATTCTTGTGGAGCAGCAGGAGAAACCTGGGGGGAGGCTGAGGTGCTTCTGGGGCAGCTTCGCCTCTGTGAATGCCCCTGGTGCTCTGGGTTTTTAGGGCTCTTATGGAGAGACTGGTGGCACATTCCAGTTTGGTCCAGCACCCAGCACCTTCATCTCCATCCCTGCTGGAGGGTGGGATGGTGGCTGTGGCCACTGTGCCCAAGGGAAAGCGTGAGGAGCCCAGGGAAGCTCTGGGTGCCCCCATCTCAGGGCGATTTTTGCCTTTCCAAGCTGAAATCTCTGGTTTTGTGAAATTGCAGTTTGTGCCCGGGGCTGGCTGAGAAGCCTTGTGAGGCTGGGAATGCAGTTTGTGCTTTCCAGTGGCTCCAGCTGCTCCTGGTGCAGTGGGGCGTGGGGAGCACTGGCTGTGGAATCATCTGGTTTGAACAATTAATCTGAATTTGGGCGCCAGAGCCAGAGCCTGGGCAGATGTCTGTCTCATGCTTGGCTTGGCTGCTGTCTGATGGCTCTGTGCTCCTCCTGGGAGCTTCCCCTGACCACAGCTCTTCAGGTGGCTTCTCCTACAGGGCTGTGCCCTGTTGGTGGGGACGCAAGTGACGCCTCTGTCCTTTACCTGGGGGCTCTGTGTCCTTAGGGATGCAGGGCTGGAAATGCAGCTGC